ACGAAATTAACTGAAACGTCTTCAAATAAACGTCTCCAACAAATTTACAATGTCGAATTTTGTTGCATTGCTTTTTTTTACGAAAACATTTATTCTAAATTTTATTTTAATGAAATATTCAATTTCAATTTTTAACTGATTATGTGATAAATCAGAAAAATCCGAAGCTAATAGAAACGATTCCAATACGTATGAGTCTCCAATAGACGTCTCTAAAGAAACTAACAGAAACGTCTTCAAACAAACGTCTCCAACAAATTTACAGTGTCAAATTTTCTTGCATTGCAAAAAACTTACAGTGTAGAATTTTCTTGCATTGCTTTTCATATAAAGTTATATTTTATTTTAATCAAATCTCCTTAATCAATCTTCAATAAATTACGTTATAAATACACTCAAGAAAATCCGAAGCTTATGGAAACATCTTCGATAGATATGAGTCTCCAATAGACGTCTCTAAAGAAACTAACAGAAACCTCTTCAAACAAACGTCTCCAACAAATTTACAGTGTCGAATTTTCTTACATTGCTTTTCATATAAAGTTATATTTTATTATAATCAAATCTCCTTAATCAATCTTCAATAAATTACGTTATAAATACACTCAAGAAAATCCGAAGCTTATGGAAACATCTTCGATAGATATGAGTCTCCAATAGACGTCTCTAAAGAAACTAACAGAAACCTCTTCAAACAAACGTCTCCAACAAATTTACAGTGTCGAATTTTCTTACATTGCTTTTCATATAAAGTTATATTTTATTATAATCAAATCTCCTTAATCAATCTTCAATAAATTACGTTATAAATACACTCAAGAAAATCCGAAGCTTATGGAAACATCTTCGATAGATATGAGTCTCCAATAGACGTCTCTAAAGAAACTAACAGAAACCTCTTCAAACAAACGTCTCCAACAAATTTACAGTGTCGAATTTTCTTACATTGCTTTTCATATAAAGTTATATTTTATTATAATCAAATCTCCTTAATCAATCTTCAATAAATTACGTTATAAATACACTCAAGAAAATCCGAAGCTTATGGAAACATCTTCGATAGATATGAGTCTCCAATAGACGTCTCTAAAGAAACTAACAGAAACCTCTTCAAACAAACGTCTCCAACAAATTTACAGTGTCGAATTTTCTTACATTGCTTTTCATATAAAGTTATATTTTATTATAATCAAATCTCCTTAATCAATCTTCAATAAATTACGTTATAAATACACTCAAGAAAATCCGAAGCTTATGGAAACATCTTCGATAGATATGAGTCTCCAATAGACGTCTCTAAAGAAACTAACAGAAACCTCTTCAAACAAACGTCTCCAACAAATTTACAGTGTCGAATTTTCTTACATTGCTTTTCATATAAAGTTATATTTTATTATAATCAAATCTCCTTAATCAATCTTCAATAAATTACGTTATAAATACACTCAAGAAAATCCGAAGCTTATGGAAACATCTTCGATAGATATGAGTCTCCAATAGACGTCTCTAAAGAAACTAACAGAAACCTCTTCAAACAAACGTCTCCAACAAATTTACAGTGTCGAATTTTCTTACATTGCTTTTCATATAAAGTTATATTTTATTATAATCAAATCTCCTTAATCAATCTTCAATAAATTACGTTATAAATACACTCAAGAAAATCCGAAGCTTATGGAAACATCTTCGATAGATATGAGTCTCCAATAGACGTCTCTAAAGAAACTAACAGAAACCTCTTCAAACAAACGTCTCCAACAAATTTACAGTGTCGAATTTTCTTACATTGCTTTTCATATAAAGTTATATTTTATTATAATCAAATCTCCTTAATCAATCTTCAATAAATTACGTTATAAATACACTCAAGAAAATCCGAAGCTTATGGAAACATCTTCGATAGATATGAGTCTCCAATAGACGTCTCTAAAGAAACTAACAGAAACCTCTTCAAACAAACGTCTCCAACAAATTTACAGTGTCGAATTTTCTTACATTGCTTTTCATATAAAGTTATATTTTATTATAATCAAATCTCCTTAATCAATCTTCAATAAATTACGTTATAAATACACTCAAGAAAATCCGAAGCTTATGGAAACATCTTCGATAGATATGAGTCTCCAATAGACGTCTCTAAAGAAACTAACAGAAACCTCTTCAAACAAACGTCTCCAACAAATTTACAGTGTCGAATTTTCTTACATTGCTTTTCATATAAAGTTATATTTTATTATAATCAAATCTCCTTAATCAATCTTCAATAAATTACGTTATAAATACACTCAAGAAAATCCGAAGCTTATGGAAACATCTTCGATAGATATGAGTCTCCAATAGACGTCTCTAAAGAAACTAACAGAAACCTCTTCAAACAAACGTCTCCAACAAATTTACAGTGTCGAATTTTCTTACATTGCTTTTCATATAAAGTTATATTTTATTATAATCAAATCTCCTTAATCAATCTTCAATAAATTACGTTATAAATACACTCAAGAAAATCCGAAGCTTATGGAAACATCTTCGATAGATATGAGTCTCCAATAGACGTCTCTAAAGAAACTAACAGAAACCTCTTCAAACAAACGTCTCCAACAAATTTACAGTGTCGAATTTTCTTACATTGCTTTTCATATAAAGTTATATTTTATTATAATCAAATCTCCTTAATCAATCTTCAATAAATTACGTTATAAATACACTCAAGAAAATCCGAAGCTTATGGAAACATCTTCGATAGATATGAGTCTCCAATAGACGTCTCTAAAGAAACTAACAGAAACCTCTTCAAACAAACGTCTCCAACAAATTTACAGTGTCGAATTTTCTTACATTGCTTTTCATATAAAGTTATATTTTATTATAANTTGCCATCAGTGGATATTTCATTAGCAATTTTTTTAAAAAATTTCTTCAACAAATACGGAGAAATTTGAGAATATACATCTAAACAGGAGATAGTCGTAAAATACGGGATTCTTCGTTAAAAAACAGGAGACTCGGCAAGTATGTATATATATATAAGGACTTCAATAATAATAACTCAATTTTTGATAAAAGCTCTAAAAATGTACACTTTATGGCATTTGATAACAAAATACACTATATATATAAATTATGATTAGAAATATAAATAATTTAATTCACATATGTCAGAATAGGAATATCTTTATGATAAGTTCATGATCGAAAATAAATAATGAAAACAAAATGAGAATCAAGCAGACTAGTACACAAACAACCTATTATAAACTATATACGAACTATAAACTACAAATATGTTACACAAACAAACAATAATAAAAAATTCAAACTATCTTTACATTTTCTTGCATAACTTTCATTCTAAATAAGCTTAGTTTAATACTAAAAAGAGGTGTTCCAAAAGTAAAACTATTTTTTTTAGTTTTGCATAAAACAGATAAAAATTATATTTTTAAAATATCTTTTTCAGGATTTACGTTTGAAATTTATTTCCATATATTGTAGTCACCTTATGCACATTACATTTTAAAAGAGAAATGCTGAAATGGTAATCAGTCTTCAGCATACAATGAGTAGTTGTACTTTCATTTAAAAGTTACATTTATTTTCTTTTATATCTTAACTTTGATTTATCGATTCGTGTAAAAAAGTATCACTAGTTACAATGTAAATATGGAGAACAACCTCTTCTTTTCTTTTCCAACTTTTTCTATTGATTTTTTTTAACAAAATTTTGATACTCACTAATTTAAATATTGTATTAGCTAATTCAATTTGGCTACACATTTCTTTCTCTTGTAAGGCTCTATAAACACAAGCCAAAATAATAAACATGTAACCATACTAAGTCTGAACAAAATAAATGTAATACTAATATATTCAGTATGTAGTGTGTCTACCACTACAAAAATACAATTTCAATTCACTAGTAAATAAGACATGTTAACTGGATTCAATGTTGGGGTACCTTTTCATACACGAAGGTTAACATGGTCGAAAACAACTATCCCCACATTAGTGTCCTTCGGACGTGATGTGAACATGCCTACCTTGACAGAATCTCCCACTTTGAAATGAACTCGCCTATCTTAACAGTAATGCCCATTTCAATTTGAACAGCCCTACTAAGATGGATGGTCCACAATGAACAGTTGACTTGCTACTTGTGACTGTGACATTATCCACATCCTTGAGCTGTTGCTTCTCAGTCTCGATCACACATAACTTACATATACACTCGTCTGCTAAAGCACTTGTACATAACACAAAAGCGACCATGACAGTGAACTTAATACAGCTCTCCCGGCTTCTCACTATCAGCAATGAATCAACTAGTGGTTCATTGAATTCTATCACACATATAATTCGGGTAGGGGAGTACTCTAGGGTGTCTACCACTAAAAGAATACAATTCCAATTTCCTAGTATATAAGACATGTTAACTCGATTCTATGTTGGGGTACCTTTTCATAGATGAAGGAAGGTTGACATGGTCGATAACAACTCTCCCTACAAGTATTTTAGTTTTACAAAAGAAATCTGAAATCTGACTCAATAACTAAATTTTTAAAATCAATATCCAAAAGTATAACTAATAATTCAAAACTTGCAATATACAAAACCTAGTATTATAAGAATGTGTAGTTTATTATATTAGAGAATGATAAAGCAAAATCAGTGTATTCTTTGGTAAGCCATGTGCAAGATTTAAAAACTCTACTTTTTAAGAATGCCCCTTTAGTTTTATCTTCAAATAAATAAAAATGAAGTAAACAAATTTCCTTATGCCACACTAACAAAAGTATTACAAAGTTTATGCTTATAATTATCAGGTAGCTATAAGAAGTACTTAAAAAAATAACTGTAATTTAAACTGAATTTAAGATTCCAAAAGTTTAGATTACAGATTATACTGCATTAAGGAATCACATTTGAAATTGTTTTTTGTGCTTAAAATTAAACAGTTAGGAGAATTTTAATTTTTCAATTACTTTTTTTTAATAACACAAAGAGATATAACAAAATGGCTAGGAATAGATATGCAAAACCAAGAAAAATAAATAGATAAAAGCAATTACCTGGACATAAAATAGACCACCAACTGCTAGAACAACACCTAGAGCTAATCCAAGACTAAATACAGTGAAGCCTAACTGATATATTGTAAGATAAACAACATATCTTCTATCTCCATGTAAAAAGTACCAGTTCTGAAAGAAGCAATAAAAATAAAACCATTAAAGAGTTTATAAAAACATGAGTTCTATAACTGCTCACAAAATTTTTTCAAACAAACCAAAACCTAACTTCAAACTTCTAATTAAAAAAATCAAAAAAATATTATTTATTTTAATATTTAATATTTCTTTTGAGCATCAAGAATATAATGACAATTTAACAGGTTTTCTTTTTAACTGATTTAATTCAGCATTTTAAATGATTATATTAATTTCAATAAGATATTAATTAATAATTTATTAATTTAATAAGATATATATTCATTTTCATTTATATTCATTTTATACATTAATATTCTTTATCTACTTATTTAGTAAAAAACCATGTTCTCCAAATATAGAAAAAAGAAAAAGATATCTTAAAGGCCAAGTGTTATCAATATAGTTGTAGCGTATCTACCACTACAAAATTACAACTACAATTCACTAGTATATAAGACATGTTAACTCGACTCTATGTCAGGGTACCTTTTCATAGATGAAGGTTGACATGATCTGTAACTACTCTCCCCACATTGGTGACCTTCGGACATGATGTGAACACGCCTACCTTGGTAAAAACGCCCACTTTGATCTGGATACGCCTACATCGGCAGTAACGCCTACTTCGTTGGATGGTCCACATTGAACAGTTGACTTGCTACTTGTGACTGCATCATTATCCACCTCCTCACGCAGTTGCTACTCAGTCTCATCTCGATCACACACAACG